GTGATGGACTGATTACATCGTCTTCACATCTCTACTGCTTCTGCCGACTTACTCGACTGAAGAAACCTGCTACAGCGAAACGTTTCTGTTGCACATGTGTCTTACCTGCCCACCAGGGTTGTCTGGAAGATTAAATAACAGGGATAATGCTCATCATGATATATATTGTTTAGATATTGCAAGTATAGCATTTGGTAATCGTGGGCGGCCCTTACCTGTAGTTTTGGGCTGGTATAGCGCCTCACAACCTCGTAATGGTTAGTCCAATTCACTCAACATCTAAACTAAATAGGTGCATGCAAGTACAATAGAGACTTGCCTGGCTCATTATAACGGGAGTCTGTGATGTCTTGATGTCACTTAGACCGAAATCGTCGATTTGATTGAAGAGATGACGCTGGACGCCTCCACTTCGTAGTCAGCTTGACACACGTCGCCTGACGGCTAACGCTAATGAGCTACACGGAAATAGTGCTCCCGTGAGGTACTTGCTACACTCGTTGAAATGTCCGTATCTATTTACGGCAGGACGAATGACATTTTCCTGGAGATCGTCAATCAACGGCACGGGAAACACGGACACGAAATTGGCCACGAATGTTTTCTACGTCCGGTGGCCGGGGTAGGGCAGCACCCGGCCACCTCGTCACATTTTCACTGTTGCTGACAGTGTCGATAGACATTACTGCCAGCTCTCTCAACTTAACACATTCAAAATAGGCTGATTCCTTCAGACTGAGATGCGGATTTATGAAAATAATTCCCCCAGGTGTCAGTTCCCATGCATATATTGTCGGATTTCTCCCCGGTCTTGAGAAATCGCCATTTTCTCAAACTTCTGTTCATAAAACTTGCAGACAAATCCTATGAACACTCCTACAGAGGGTAAATTCTGCGGTACATGTGCGTCTCGTGCGTCACATTTTATCAGCTATGAAACTGTAATCCCATTAGAGGGTATCTGATTATGCTGGATCAGAGACACATGTTAAGATTAAGAGACATTCTGGAATGTACTAATTGAGGTTGTGTAGTAGCGCATAAGACCTTTTTGAGCTCTGCTAGTCCAGAGGATGCAGGTCATGACCCGTTTCATCCTCACAGTATGGGGGGGTCACTGCCCCAGTGGGCGTCACTATCCCCAAGGGGCGTCCATCCCGCTGGGTGTTAGAGAAAATTTTTCTCCACAGATCTTCAGTGGTGGAGGCCTTCAGTGATTTTCAGTGGTGATCTTCAGTGGTGGTGGTGGTATTCAATGGTGATTTTCAGCGTTGGAGATCTTCGGTGGTAGATCTTCAGTGGTGGTCTTCAGCGGTAGAGATCTTCAACGGTGGGGATCTTCAGCAGTGGAAGTCTTCAGCAGTGGAGGTCTTCAGCAGTGGAAATCTTCAGCGGTGGAGATCTTCTGTGATCTTCAGTGGTGGAAGTCTTCTGTGGTAGAGGTCTTCAGTGGTGGAAGCGGTGGAGGTCTTCAGCAGTGGAAGTTTTCAGTGGTGGAGGTCTTCAGCGGTGGAGGTCTTCAGCGGTGGTGCTCAGCGGCGATCTTCAGCAGTGGTGGTCTTAAGCAGTGGTGGTCTTAAGCAGTGGTGGTCTTAAGCAGTGGTAGAAGTCTTCATTGGTGGAAGTCTTCATTGGTGGAAGTCTTCAGTGGTGGAAATCTTCAGTAGGTGGAGGTCTTCAGCGGTGGAGGTCTTAAGAGTGGAGATCTTCAGTAGACGAGAATGGAACTACAATAAAGATTGACTTGAGGAAGACGTTGTGTTTATGGCAACAAGGCAACAATGGCAACAAGGGTGGGGTTGGCCTGTATGTCACCGAGTCGCTCATTTGCATAGAACTAAACACCTCAAATGATGTAGTTGGAGTTTTGGCGGTAAAGACTGAAAACCAAAACCTTGTCATTGTGGTAGTATACAAGCCTCCAGATGCAACTTCCCGGCAGTTCCAGCAGCAGCTTGAGAAAATTGACCAGTGTCTGGAAAATCTGCCAACTCCTGCCCCAAACATCCCACTACTAGAAGATTCAACTTGAGACACCTAAAATGGAGGAGTATAGCAAACAATGTATCAGAAGAGATCACCCCAGGAGGCAGCTCAGACGAAAATTCACACACACACGAACTAATAAATCTCTGCACCAAATTCACCTTAAGTCAGCAAATAGTAGAGCTAACAAGACTAGAAAACACCCTGGACATCTTCACTAACAATGACGATCTGATACGTAATATAACTGTATCAAAGACAATACACTCAGATCACAACATAACAGAGGTACAGACATGTATGCACAGGGCTCCGGACCAGCAAAATGTGAGCAGTCATGGTCTCTTCACGAAATTCAATTTCAATAACATACAAAAAGGAAATTGAAAATAAAAACAAAATACTTCTTCTCTTATGCCAAATCTAAGGGTAAAACAACATCCAGTATTGGGCCCCTGCTTAGGCAGGATGGGACATACACAGATGACAGCCAAGAAATGAGTGAGATATTAAAGTCCCAATATGACTCAGTGTTCAGTGAGCCACTGCCCAGACTAAGGGTCGACAATCCAAATGAATTCTTTATGAACGAAATCCATAATTTGGTCACCTCAAAAATCTCGGATATTATCCTAACTCCGCAAGACTTCGAAAAGGAAATAAATGACATGCCCATTCACTCTGCCCCAGGCCCAGACTCATGGAACTCCGTGTTCATCAAGAATTGCAAGAAGCCCCTATCGCGTGCCTTCAGCGTTTTATGTAGAGGGAGCATGGACACAGGGGTCATCACACACACACACACACACACACACACACACACTAAAAACAACAGACATAGCCCCACTCCACAAAGGTGGCAGTAAAGCAGTTGCAAAGAACTACAGACCGATAGCACTAACATCCCATATTATAAAAATCTTTGAGAGGGTTCTAAGAAGCAAGATCGCCAACCACCTAGATACCCATCAGTTACACAACCCAGGGCAACACGGGTTTAGAGCAGGTCGCTCCTGCCTGTCCCAGCTACTGGACTACTATGACAAGGCCCTGGATGCTGTAGAGGATAAACAAAATACAGATGTAGAATACACAGACTTTGTAAAAGATTTCGACATGTGTGATCATGGTGTAATAGCACACAAAATGCGTGATAAAGGAATAATAGGAAAAGTCCCAGGCAGCCACGGTAAAAAGCTCTGCTCCACAAGGCACAGTACTCGCTCCCATTCTATTCCTCATCCTCATTTCTGACATAGACAAAGATGTAAGCCATAGCTCCGTGTCTTCCTTTGCGGATGACACCCGAATCACCATGGCAGTGACTTCCATCGAAGGCACCGCGAGACTCCAAGCGGACATCAACCAAATCTTCGAATGGGCCACTCAAAACAATATGAAGTTCAACGAGGAGAACTTTCAACTACTCAGATATGGGAAACTTGAGGAAATTTAAAAATGTATCAGGGTATACGACAAATTCTAACCATACAATAGAGCGGAAAAGTGATGTGAAGGACCTGGGAGTGATAATGTCAGAGGATCTCACCTTCAAAGATCACAACAATGTATCTACCTCATCTGCTAGAAAAATGATAGGATGGATAATGAGAACCTTCAAAACTAGGGACGCCAAGCCCTTGATGATTCTCTTCAAATCGCTTCTGCTCTCTAGGCTGGAATACTGCTGTACACTAACGGCCCCCTTCAAGGCTGGCGACATTGCAGACCTGGAGAGTGTACAAAGAACTTTCACTGCACACGTAAGTACGAAATGGCACCTAAATTACTGGGAACAGTTGAAGGTCCTTGATCTGTATTCCCTCGAACGCAAGCGAGAGAGATACATGATAATATACACTTGGAAGGTCGTGGAGGGATTGGTACCAAACCTGCACACGAAAATTACTCCATATGAAAGCAAAAGACTCGGCAGGAGATGCAACATTCCCCCGATGAAAAGCAGGGGCGCCACGAGTACACTGAGAGACAACACAGTAAGTGTCCGGGGCCCAAGACTGTTCAATTGCCTCCCAGCATACATAAGGGGGATTACCAATAGACCTCTGGCTGTCTTCAAGAAGGCACCGGACAGGCACCTAAAGTCAGTATCTGACCAACCGGGCTGTGGTTCGTACGTCAGCTTGCGTGCGGTCAGCAATAACAGCCTGATTGATTAGACCCTAATCCACCATGAGGCCTGGTCTCAGACCGGGCCGCAGGGGCGTTGACCCCTCGAAACCCTCTCCAGGTAAACTCCAGGAAGGTAGATTATATTGGACAGGGTCTATAGACAGATTATGCTGGAGAGGGTAGACAGATTATGCTGGACAGGATAGACAGGTTATGCTGGACAGGGTAGACAAATTATGCTGTACAGGGTAGATACGATACACAACAGGAGGACAAGTGTGCCATAAGTATAACAAGAAACACTTCAGCTATATTATAAAACAGAGAGAATCACCAGAAGTGGAATTTGCAACTTCAGACGTCATAAGGTCAAATTATGTTGAAGCAGTGGAAAGTTTAGTCTCTGTCGTAACCCGCAATGTCAACACGGGATACATATGGCAGGCTGTCAACATTAGTAAATATAAGACAAATTTTTTTTTTTTTTAGTGTGAGTATAGAGAGAGCGTTGTCAGCTTATTACTTGACAAAGCTCTACACACACACACACACACACACACACACACACACACACACACACACACACTAAAGGGCAAGACGATCCATCGAGGGGAAAAGGGAGGTGTGTTGATCCTGATGAAGGTCTCTGGAGTTAAGGAAGTCGTGGTGCTCTTACCTTCCTTGAAGAATACTTGTTTATCTCTGATTCTCAAGGCTTCCCCACGGACATAATCATTATAATAATAAAATAATTAAAAAAAATATATATAAAAAATAAACTATAATAATTAGGTAAGAAAATAAATTACTAGAAATGCAAAATCAAGTTTGTAGTGACTGATAACTGCGGGTTTGACAGGTAATCAGTAATGTATTTGCAGGTGTGAGGGGCCCTCAGGGCCCTGACGGCCCTCCAGGATCTCCAGGTCCTGCAGGACTTCCTGGCGAGATTGGCCACAAGGGCAGCATTACCAGCAGGACCCGCCAGGGTGTACCGGGGCCCCCAGGGCACCCAGGACCCCCGGGCCCTCAAGGACCCATAGGCGAAACCGGCGACTGTATCAAGGGCAACAAGGGCACGAGAGGCAAGAAGGGCGAGCCCGGTTCACAGATCCCGGGACATAGGGGCCTTCCCGGACCCCCAGGACCCAGGGGAGACCCAGCCCCAGACCTGAACGCCGTTCGTGCTGCTGCTGCTGCTACCGTCAAGAAGCAATAACCTAGACTTAACTTGGTATTCTCAAGGAGACACATTAACTCACACGTGAGCATGTTACAGGTTAATAATCTTCATTCACAACAGCCTCTGCTAGTCCAGTCTACCGCAAAGTTTACCAGGATGTAATTTAGTTTAACTAGGCTAAGTTAGAGGTACAGTTTGCTTTGAATGATTTGTTTTGAGAAGTATGTGTGTTCGATAATACGAGACTACCCTGATCCTGTCCTTCCTCAGGCTGTTGAGGACTGCTGTGTAAGGTCTTCTGATGTAGATTAGATTCTGCCGACGAAGTGGCTAGTGTATTGTACACCCTATATCCATCCCGTAGACGGTAGCTCAAGAGCATATGGATACGCAAATGGTCTAGGAACTAGGTCCCAAATGGGTTTACAGGAATACATCTGGATTTTTATATCTTCAGTTAGGGTCTTCTGTATTCTGCACAAGTCGGAATTTTTAAGACTGGGTTTACTAAGATGAGCGATCGTTCTAGCCTGTCACCCACACTGTTTATAAATATTAGAAAGTGTTGGTGAATGAATCAGTGACAGAAAACCAGCTCAAGCATCGTCTGTTCACTCAAGTCTCAGAGATAAAGTGCCAAGTGTTTGGTTGAGTTAAAGGGCGACAACTTTATTGGCTGTTTCTAATGAAAGTATTACTAAAACATTTCTCGAAGTCTTGTGAATAACTGCAGGTTGTGAGAAACCTCATACGAGTCGTAAAGGAGTTGTTGAACAGCGACCCTGGCTACGGTCGGGACTTTGTGCATATAAGATTGAAAAGCGTGAATTAGTCCAGCCTTCTGACAACACCATAAAAAAGACTAATAGACAGCATGTCAGGAGAAGCTTTCAAGTAAGTTTTTCATAGGCTGAAACAATCAAGAAAATAAACCATACCACCGGTGGGGTTAGAACCCGCAATCAGATAAAAAAACTCCAGACCTATGCGCTACCCACTGGTCCAGTGGCTAGCGCGTCGGTCTGGAGTTTTATGACTCAGATCGCGGGTTCTAACCCCACCATGGTATGGTTTGCAATCGTGGGTCAGTCAAGAAAATTTTCGATTCATTTAAAAAATGAATCTGGAAATCGATGGTGAACCTCCAGAGATGTTTGCTCGATATAGCAGATGATGACTTCATGACAGAACTTTTTTTGCAAGCGTCATTTTCAAAATGGTCAGTTTTTCTTATTTCCAGCAGCAAAACCATGACTGGATGGCTTACGGTGCTGGATGGTTTTATGAAAGGAGGAGCGGAGTTCCATGCTAGAGGTCGTTACTGATACTGCCATCATCCACCTCTACTTCAATCGAAAGAACTTGGCGACAGCAGAAATTCAGCCTCACACTGACTCACTCCACTAGATGGAGCTCACACTGTGAACTCCATCTAGTGGAAGACACCGAATTCTCAGTCGTTCCAAGTCACCTGCCAGGAAACGGAACGAAAATATCAACAGTATTTACTCTACCATTCACAAGTCCAATGGCTCTCTCGGGGACGAAATATTTTCACGAGTTATGTTACCGAGAATGAAACTATATTTTCCACTGAAAGGATAAATAATTCTATGACTGACCACTTCAGAGGTCAACCCAGACTCCTTTATAAACGACAGACACTGAAATTTTAAGGTTGGTTTGTGGGTTTCAAGTGTGAAGGTTGGTTTATGGGGTTTAAATGGTGGCCTAGTCCAGAAACCTTGATGTTTTGCAGGTTTCTGTTACTGCTTAAAAATATATTCTCACCTTCATTCATTATTGTTTGTATTTTATAATTGGTGATAATGAGTGTTAACGTAACCTAATATAGCGGGAGAGAAAATCGATTTAATCTCGAGTAATAAACAAAATCCGCAAGAACGTTAGCATTAAGAGGTTTAGCAAGGATGATCCCTGGCTGGCAAGCCTGGCTGGCAAGCCTGGCTGACAAGCCTGGCTGGCAAGCCTGGCTGACAAGCCTGGCTGACAAGCCTGGCTGACAAGCCTGGCTGACAAGCCTGGCTGACAAGCCTGGCTGACAAGCCTGGCTGACAAGCCTGGCTGACAAGCCTGGCTGACAAGCCTGGCTGACAAGCCTGGCTGACAAGCCTGGCTGGCAAGCCTGGCTGACATGCCTGGCTGACATGCCGGGCAGACATTTCCTAGCATAAATTTAAGCCAGTTAAACACTGATGAGCAGAGAACTCGACCATAAGTGATACTAATGAAGAGATTTCTTCATCTGGAGGGTAAGTTCAAGGGAGTAACTACATCATCCTGTAAGCTGAGTGAATTTCTGGAAATCGTTCACAGTTATTAAACCAGGACCTGACAGAAATTTTCCAGAAACTCTTAATACATATGAAAAGTAAGAGGAATCGAAGATGAATGGTTCAGAACCGACAAGTTGATAAATTAGACACATGTGCAACATTTGGGTATCTTAAAGATATCCAAATGTTGCACATGTGTCTAATTTATCAAGAAGAATCGTTAGTTATCAAAACAATTTAATCTTCACAAACACATATGAGCAGGAAAGCTTTTGATTTAGACATCCACAAAACTGGGAAGGTTGTTGATGAATTCCTGGAATAACTTCGCCTCGAGGAAAGTCAAACTTGGCTACTCACTGGGGAGGTTTCTTTGTCATTTCTGGACACACCTGCAGGTAAACCAGAGAAGCTCAGTATCTGTTTCCAACTCCTTACTGAGGCAGAATTTTCTTGCCTGGTTGTGATCAAGACAATAACAAATGTTGTTTTGGCTCAGAGTATTACATCAGCTGAGGACTACTGAACCAACTCAGAAAATGAAACTTGAGAGTAACAATGAATTTTCGACTAAGTATTTTTTTTTTTATCTTATTAACGAACAATATTTGTTGTTCAATATGCATTTTCACATAATAAAATACTGAATAATTTTTAACTTTGATTTACTGAAATCTATTCAAAAGTAATCTCAAGTATACATATCTTTACGTTTTATCATAAGTCTGAGGATCCCCCGGCCCTGAAGGTGGCCACTTCAGCCTGGCAGTTCCAGGGACTGAACACCTGTGTTACACAAAAACATTCCACGCACACCACCACGCCAAGCAAATACATTTACGTAGCCTGCTGGAAAGTGATGGACGGAAGGAGAGGGAGAGGAAGCAGGTATTAGCTAGAGCAAATCCTCAGGGGCAAGGATGTCACTAACATGATAATAAAATCTTTAATTCTACAAGTACATGTGCAAGGTATACAGACCATAGCTGACATCAATGACATACCACTATATAGAACGCCGCTTGTTATGCAAAACATTCTGGCAAATTAGGTCAGTTTTGTCCCAGGATGCGACCCACGCAAGTCCACTAACACCCAGGTACCCATTTTTTACTGATGGACAAACAGGGACAACAGGTGTCTTACGGAAACATGTCCTAAGACTAGTAGTTACCAGTTTACGACTTAATAATTAAGACTTAATTTATATTAAATATTTAGCTAATTGTTCCCCTCAAGGAAGGTTCCTTGATGTTGGTGAAGGGCTCTTGATTTAGGGAATTGGATCTGTGCTCCAGTTCCCTAAATTAAGCCTGAATGCCTTCCACATCCCCCTCCCCCAGGCGCTGTATAATCCTCCGGGTTTAACGCTTCCCCTTTGATTATAATAATAATAATTAGCTAATTGTCACTATTCAACGATGCCGTAGACTGGATTTAATTTATTAAAATAACATGTCAACATTTTCTAAAAATTTACTTACACAAAATGCTTTTATCTTTTCAAAATTCTAGAGATGCCAGCCATTCCTTGCTCTCCCAGATGTTACGGTCCTGAAGGGTATGATTAAGTCCAAAGAGCTTTCCAGACTCACTTGCGAGAAGCTGAGAGAAAGGATCATAACTCATGTACTCACATCAGCCTCATTAATCCTATATGTGTAATCCCCTCGCATGTTGACACGACACTGAGTGAAGTTAATCATAATCACACGAGTGTACTCACCAGCGTATAAACACAACTATTTCTCTCTACCAAAACATAACTCACAGGAATTCTTAGGACGTTAGAATTCTTCCAGGCTCTGTAACCGATTAAAAAAAATTCCAGCCGTTACACTCATGACAAAACTCCAGTCACTACACTCATGACACAAAACCTTCCAGTCACTACACTCATGACACAAAACCTTCCAGTCACTACACTCATGACACAAAACCTTCCAGTCACTACACTCATGACACAAAACCTTCCAGTCACTACACTCATGACACAAAACCTTCCAGTCACTACACTCATGACACAAAACCTTCCAGTCACTACACTCATGACACAAAACTTCCAGTCACTACACTCATGACACAAAACCTTCCAGTCACTACACTCATGACACAAAACCTTCCAGTCACTACACTCATGACACAAAACCTTCCAGTCACTACACTCATGACACAAAACCTTCCAGTCACTACACTCATGACACAAAACCTTCCAGTCACTACACTCATGACACAAAACCTTCCAGTCACTACACTCATGACACAAAACCTTCCAGTCACTACACTCATAATACAATCTTACCTTGCTAAATTAATTACAGATGTATAGTTCAGAGGTACTACTATCACTGCACCCACGAAGCAGCCTCACAGCCTCTACACGTATTACAACAACCTTCCAGTCTTAACAACTCGTACTAAAATAACCTTCCAGCAGCACCACCACCATCTCCAGATCAAACATTTTCAGAAATTCTTAGATACAGATCTTTCAACGAAATTTAAAGTTTAATAAAATTTTGTAGGTACCTGTTACAGGTACATTCAGAGGGACTTTCTGCTTACAAAATACTTCTGTATCAACATATTTTGAAAAATGTCTTCCGGTTATCACATATAATGCTGAAAAATTACTCCAGGCACAAGAATCATCTAGGAATTACACAACTTCTACTCATTTTTCCGAAAATCATTGTAACCACAACAGTCCATAAAAGACGTTTTGTAATCTTAAACATTCTTGAACTTGTTTTTTGTAATTAGCACCAAATTTAAGAGAAACCTGTCAGTAACTACAGTATTGGTTAATAAGCATTTACACCTACAAAATTCTTCGAAATGTATATTTTAGTTACGTATATCTTCCAGGAAGATGTTGCGTACATCTTCCAGGAAGATGTTGCATGTAACTTCCAGGAAGATGTTGCGTGTATCTTCCAGGAAGATGTTGCGTGTATCTTCCAGGAAGATGTTGCGTGTATCTTCCAGGAAGATGTTGCGTGTATCTTCCAGGAAGATGTTGCATGTATCTTCCAGGAAGATGTTGCGTGTATCTTCCAGGAAGAAGTTGCGTGTATCTTCCAGGAAGATGTTGCATGTAACTTCCAGGAAGATGTTGCGTGTATCTTCCAGGAAGATGTTGCGTGTATCTTCCAGGAAGATGTTGCGTGTATCTTCCAGGAAGATGTTGCATGTAACTTCCAGGAAGATGTTGCGTGTATCTTCCAGGAAGATGTTGCGTGTATCTTCCAGGAAGATGTTGCGTGTATCTTCCAGGAAGATGTTGCGTGTATCTTCCAGGAAGAAGTTGCGTATATCTTCCAGGAAGAAGTTGCGTATATCTTCCAGGAAGAAGTTGCGTATATCTTCCAGGAAGATCTTCCAGCCAAAACACGTCTTTTAGAACGTGAATCCCGCTACCACAAACTACAAAAACCACTTTTCACTCTATAAACCTGCTAGACTCAACTTTTCAATAAATCTCTAAAAAGTTCAATCCCTGGAGCTTGCTCGTATCTTTATTGACACGGCTAACTTTTTATGGAAAGACTTTTTCTCAACATGACGGCAGACAATGGCTGTTCTGCCAGTGTTCCTTGTGTGGAAACAAAGATGCCCTTTTTTTTCCACTATAACCTTTAAATATTTGTGAGGTAAAGCCAGTGGTAATTAATGTTCATTGTACTTAAATTACATTTTCGTGTGTTTTTATTTACATCCTCTTTCTGGGGTTTCCACTGTTTTGTAGTGAAAGCTTATAATTTATTTACTAAGTTAGACCCTCTGATGGAGCCTCCTCAAGTATCTTATAAGTTCTTGAAACCTTCCCTTGAAACCTGGAGAGGGTTTCGGGGTTACCCCCGAAACCCTCTCGGTCTGAGACCAGGCCTCGTGAAACAAACGCTACTTCTAAATTAGTGCCGTTTATAACAAACTACTAATGTTACTCCACTGGCACTCACAGAGGCGTTTATGTGTACAGGTTATTCTACTTCTGGTCACCACCTGTTCTGTTATGACTATCACAACCATCCAGTATTACTGTTGCTGACGCGGCTGCCTCGTTGTCAGCTGAAAGGTCTGATACAATCACTGAACAAACATCAGGAATCTCTTGAATTTAGTTTATTCATCTATTGAATGTATTTGATGATTTGTGTGACGTTGAGGTACCAACGGTACTACCCAACATCTAGCCCTGTTCTCCAACATACCCGAGTCCTTAATAGTCACTAAAATTCATTATAAATTTCTGATATTTAAAATAATTTTAGCTAACCTAGCATTCGTGACTGATAGATTTTTACTGAACATGCAAGTCCTGAAGGATATAGAAACTCCTGCCACTAAGCGCGGTGCATCAAGTTGAAATCCTATACTCGCAGTGTTTGTCGACCAAGTACTTCAGTGTTTGTCGACCGAGTACTTCACTGTACACTGAATATCTCATTATCACTTATAATCGGATCATATTATCGAGAATTAATACCATCGAGGAACTTGTCATGCTGTGTATCGTCAAACCTCGACATTTCGCTAGTCTTATTCTCTAACTTCTGTCAATCGTTGAAGGAGCCACACTAATGATGCGGCTACTAACAGGTTGAGTGAGATTGGTTACGAAAGTGTTCAAGATTACACGTACATACTGGAATGTGTATATACCGTTTTTCGCGGCTTATAAGACTTGTTTAAGTTTCAATGGCTCGGAATTGGACATAACTGGGAGAGCTACAGCCCACCCCACACCCCAAATTTATATCTCCCGTCACTGACCTTCAGTTTATAGGACGCAGGCTGGGTTTTGGAGACATTTTATGGAAAAAATGCGTCTGAGCCGCGAAATACGGTACATACTTAGGGATTGTCAGAGAACATGTATAGTTCCTTTGTATGAAGGCAAGAGAGATAAAAGAGTATACTGGGCAAAGTGTAGAGTTAGTATTGAAAGAATTATGGGCAAGACAGAGCAGGCTCGCAGATGACCAAAGATCGTTTATGTCAAGAAGAGCATATAAATCTGGGGTGGAGGGAAGGAGGTTTTGGAAAGGCCTAAGTGAGGATTTTAGTGCTTGTGTGAGCGCGTTAGAAAGGAGTGGAGGCAAGTGGATTTTATGATTTGAAGTACTGTTGGAGTGTGAGCAAAGTAACATTCATGAAGGTATTCAGGGAAACTGGTTAGCCGGATTTAAGTCCTGGAGGCGAGTAGTACAGTACCTGCACTCTGAACGATGGGGGGGGGGGATATTGCAGTTTCTAGTTGCATCCGAACTGTGATCTCAACATACTTGTTGCAAGACTGTCTTCCTCAGCCGCGGATAACAAAGTTTGCAATATTATTCAATTACTAAACGTAAAATATACATTCATACAAGAATATACAAATGAACGTACGATGTACGTGACAGTTACAAACGTACGTTATGTAGAGCGTAAAGTGTAGAAGGAAGTGTAGGAGGTACTGATCATATGTAATAACCAGATCAAAAATATCAGTTGAAAGTACAAACCAATATTAGACACAGTCGTTATTTCAACTTATATTTCCATCTCTCGTTTATCGTGCCATTTGCGTCCTTTGTCTTTTACAACACACACACAATCGTATTTTTTCGAAGTAATTTAATCGAAAATTTGAAAAAAT